GACTTTGGACTGGTGGGGATCTAGTTCCAATCGGACTAGTTCCTTTTTGGCGATAAAGACCTAGTACGGAACTAGAAATTTGATTCACTAGTCCGCGGTTTCCCTGTAGGGAAGCTCATATTGAAACAGGCAGTGTATTATGTACACACACACTAGCTTTGTTGCTTTACTTCTCTAGCAGATCATTATCAGGAAGAATAACAGAATTACGCTCACAGCGAGTGAAATATAGAAAAAGTTAAGAAATGCAAACTAACAGAAACGAGCAAGTAAAGACCTACCGATGCTTTTGAGAACTGAACATATGTATTTGTAGCGAATTTTTAATCCCATTTTATGTTTAAAAATTGTTCACAAATACTTTACAACACTTTATCAAATTTAATAAATCGCTCATTTTTATTAAAAAACTAGCCAATGCCCGCCTGCTTCGCAGCGCCTAATAAGATCTTTTGCGGTGGCCAATACAAAAATAGCGTTTAAAAGCAAAAGCGGTCTGTAAAGTAAAAATTTTTAGCTTAAATTGAAACGAATAAAGAACAGAATCCCTCTCACACATAGGCCAAGAATAGTAGCGCTGTGATACCATATGGAATACTAATCCCTTTCGATGGTCTTATTTCCACCTGAGAGATCTTCTATGCTCTTGCAACTTTAGCATTGGTCCGTAAACCAGTTTTCAGTTAAAGGAGGGCCAAGAAGGTGCGCTTACACAATGTTTCGGCCTTTACATGCACACTTAAACGGATCCTCTATTTAGCCATATGAAAAGTAAATTCGTCTAAGATGAATATAGGGCCAAAGCAGACCAAACCCCGTGTGGGTTTCTATATATTTCGGCTGCAGCGCAATCCATTAGGTACCTTTTCTGCAAAACCACTGCTTGTCATGAAATGAATAAGCATTATGACTTTCATCAGATTTTAGAAAATATAGCGGATTCATTTTTACGAAACGAATTTTTCAGTAAGCTACCTGTACACTTTGCGAAGTTGAACGAAATCGGTTAATAAATACATACGACTTTTATAAGTAACTCTATGTAACTTTATGTATGTATGTACTTTAGAGTGGTCCAAAAAAAATTGTCCAAGACAGGGTTTGGGGCACCTCCCAAAATTTTTCTTTTTGCCGAAAGAGGTGCTGGTCCAAACCTTACGTTTCTATGTATACATTTAGAAAATGCTCATGATGCACATATTTTATTCTAGAAGTATTGGGTATATATATTAATCAAAGAATTGGTTAAGTAACCTAAGAACATTTCAAATTTAAAAAAATATCACAAGTTTCGGTTGTCATGGCTGTTACCTTTTTATAAAAATCACCAATTTTTTTGTCAGTTTCGCAGCAATCCGGCAGCGCGTTTCAAGGTCATTGAGCACCGTGTATTAGTTGCATTAGAAAACTGAAAGTTGGTATAGATATTACAAATATTAAAAGGAAAAAACTAACGGGGTGCCCCGTTTTCTACAATGAAAATTGTTTCCCCATACAAAAATTGGACCACTTTGTACATATATATATGTTTCGAATGAAAACAAATCATCATGAAAGTAATAAACGTTTCGAATTTGCTTTAACAAAATCGGTTCATAAATAGGGCTTTTATCGGGTCCGTGCTTTTGTCATCATGCAGGTAGCTTATAATTTTAATTTGAACGAAATCGGTTCATAAAGCCACCTAGCGGGTCTATTTTTGGTAAACGTATTTTCAATCATGCTGGTAGCTTACACTTTGAATTTAAAAGAAATGGGTTCATTAATACGAATTTTATAAATAACTCGACTCCAGCGTCACCTAGCTGGTATATTTTTCGCATACGTAGCACACGTTTTAAATTTGAACGAAATTGGTTTATAAATACGCCTTTTATAAATAACTTTACCCCAGCCCCACCTAGCGAGTTTTCTGGTAGCCTATAATAGGACCATATATGCAAGGTATAACCTCTAAAAATTTGACTGAAATCTATGCAGTGGTTTTTGAGTTAACTCCGAACAACGAAAACGGCTATTATTTTACATATATAGAAGATACCAACATATGTAAAAGAAGCAAATCAAAGTAGCTGTGCCTAACCTGACTTATATTGGGGCAACAGCTAAATTTTTCACCGCATAACGTGAAAATTATGTGTTTCTTGTAATTTGCTTTTGTAATTTTTTACTTATATTCGGCTAACACTACCTTGTGTAAATGCGCCTATCTGTAAAGAAACAAAGCTACTGTGTGGTGTATTCAATATTCATTTTTTGGTGAATTCTTTGGGCCACTGTCAATTGCTCTCAGAATTTGTGATGTGCTGAGTCGCTACTTTTAAGTATTGATCGATACTCGGTACCGATTTAAAAAGTATCAAATACTTTCGATACTCGGTACCGAAATGTGGGAATTTCTAATAAAAGCGCACAACAGGCAAAAATATGAGTTATATGTAGACATACATATAGTGTCAGCTTTTAAAAATAAATAATACTGCCACCAGAACTATTGCAGTTGGGAAGACGGTTGCGATAAGTAAGAGAAGGCGAGAGTGTGTTTTGCGACATCAGTATCAGGGCGTATTTAATAAGGTAATTACATCAAAATTACGTGTTGTTGTAGTTCATACTAATGACAGTATGAATATCTGCGTATAATTTGTTAGTGTAATTTTTTACTTATATACGGCTAACACCACCTTATTAAATTCGCCTTGATCAGTATTGTGCAGATTTAATTGCCAGCCTTGTTCGCCGCACACATTATGCTTGCTTCACTTAATTACATACATACAAACACATTGCTCATCTCTTGAGAAAGCACCGTCTTATTTGTACATTTTGGGTTTTTACGCGATGTCAAAATATCAATAATAAAATATATATGTAATAATAAATATAAATAATAATAAATAATAAATAAAATATCAATAATTTTTTTCCCCCAAAAGTAGCCTATGTCGAGATAGGTCCTTTTCCCTTTAAATCAACATTTCATTGCAAACAATATTTTGACGTTTAACTAGCCAAAGATGTAGTTCAAGATGCCCCTATAATAGAATCTTAATAAAAATATAAAACAATTTCAAAGGAAACTGGTTATTTTTTAATTCAAAGTCAAACCATCTAAAGTGACTTAAGCTACTTTAATTGAACGGCACAGATATAATGACGAAAGTTTAGTATGTCGAATCGGTATCGGGTACCGAAAAGGAAGTATTGGGAACCGAAATTTTTTTCAAGTATTGGGTACCGACAATTCAGCACATCACTACTCAGAATGTCGCCTGAATAATTTTAATGACATTTGTTAACGCGGGGCTATTTGGGAACCAAATGAAAAAAGTGGTGCATTTTAGGAGCTGGTGTAGTTTTCGTACTAATCTCAATGAATAAATAGTACCAAAACGTTAAAGGTAGAATTTTGATTTGAAAGAAATACTGTTGGAATAACAAATACACCAAAATGTTCTTTTTTTATTCAATCTAATCAGATTTGTACCAAAATCCATGAATTTACACCAATTTATACACCAGTGCGCTACTTGAGTTGTTGCCCTGAAAATCAGATGGTTGCTTAAAACGATAATATAAGAAATGCGTGAGCTGGGCAAGGATAAGAAGGCTTTATCAGGGGAGATTGTTGTCCTGAAAATCAGATGGTTGCTTAAAACGATAATATGATGAGCTGAGCAAGGACAAGAAGGCAAGAACATGCCTTTTCAAAGGGTTCAGTGCAATACCAAACATATTTTGCACCGTGCAAGGGCAACATTTTTTGTTAGAAACGAAATCACGATTAGAGTTAAGCAAAAAATAAACCTCCCAATAGCAGCCCACAACAACTAAAGACTTCTTCCTCTAGTACCGATTTTGGACTCCCTGAATCTTTGAATACCGAGTTAAACAAAAATCCGAATTGAATGTATCGTTTTTATACCAGAAGTAAAGTTAAACAATGTAGGTAAAGTTTGGGTTGGATGGCAGTCCTATGTGGACTCACTTTGACTCAGGGTTCTTTGTGATACCGCATGAAGTTCGTATTTATCCCCGTTCCGCTATAAACCACTTGGTGCTTAGCAAAAAGGCGCTTAGGCTTCTAACATATATCCATTATCGATATAATTGAAGAAATAACTTTCAAGAGCTTTTGTTCTCCGTTTTGATAGAGCCGGGCAATGGCAGAGAAGATATTGGATGGTTTCCTCTTCGTCCTAAACTATGCAGCTTCTGCAGTAGTCGTTCCATGCTGCGCTCAGTCCGGCTCCGTGTAATCCAATCCGACAATGTCCGGTGAGAACTCCAGTTATTATGCCAATGTCCTGCCTCCTTAGATTAGGTAGAGACTTAAGTAGTACGTTGGGCGTTTACGGCAGGCCAGATTGTTTTGGCAATATGACAGGTTAAAAACCAACTTCAAAAAATAAAACACTAAA